AGGCCGCGTTTGCTGTCAGTGACCACAGAGGGGAAGATGCTAAAGACTGAAAACCTGGCGTTTTTTCTCCTGAATCCCAGGACTCTCTCTGCAGCTGTACACTGTCCATCTCTTAAAAGAGTTTCTGGCTTTTTAAAGGTTCTTACATTCTGCAATATTTATCTGTAACTCCATTAAAAAGAGTCATAGTGTATCAATGTGGTGTTACTGACTTTGTTTGAGTTGGTTAATTAAAGCAAATTATTGATAAGGGGTTTGAGCATCCCTTAGTTGGAGCTGGCAGCTCCTATTTAATTTCTCTTCATTCCTTTAATTCCTTTCAATTCTTTCTTAAGCAATTACTGCAATTAGGATATACAAGAAGGACAGCAGCATTTCTGCCCTGCTGGACTGGGAAATCCAAGCCCAATTCCTTGGAGAGATTGAGGGGATGGGTTTTGACAGTGGGAATTTGGTGAGGAAGAAAGAGGAGCGGTCCCACAAAAAGTGGTTAAGGCCAGTTCTGCTGGTTTTGGGTGTTCCTACCCAAAAAATTATCCTGATTAAAGGGAACGTGAGGAAGCAAGGGGCCCTGTGCCAGGGAGCGTGTGCTGGCACCCCTCCAATTCCAGCCGGAGGTGCTGGGCACTGCCAGACTGTGGGACACGGTTACTGAGAGGCTCCACTCACTGCCTGATCCAGAGGGTTTTCCCATTATTTCCTGGCGTGCTTAGCACGGGGCAAGTCATTACAGCCCCATGGGCTGAGAATCCCATAGGAGCAGGTGGAACCACAGACGAGCACACAGAAACCAGTCTTGGGGAGGAAATGGGCTGTGCCATAGATTTATTGTTCACAATGTGTTTTGAATTTGTACCAGCATCTCTCCTCTCCCCTCAGATCCCGTATCCTTGAGGTTTGAGTTTTCTCATAAAGAATTCTCGGCCTACACTGGGAAAAATAATTCCGTGGCACCGGGGGAGCGGCGGGGTCTGGGGGTCCCGGGGCCGGCACGGGGGCTCCCCCCGCCCCGGCCGGTTCCGTCCGTGCGGGGCCTCTCCGTTCTGGAGCTGCCGCCGCCCGCGGCCATCCCGGTCCCGATCCCCGCCCGACCGCGCCCGCCGCGGGAGAGGCGGCGCCGCCCGGGACCCCGCGACAGCCGACACCGACAGGAGCCGAGCCAGAGCCCCGGGCCCATCCCCGGCCCCGCCCGGGACCCCGCGACAGCCGACACCGACAGGAGCCGAGCCAGAGCCCCGGGCCCATCCCCGGCCCCGCCTCAGCGCTCGGGGCTCCGCGCAGCGCCGGCAACAGCCCCGGTTCGGCCGGGGGGACACGGGCGGGGCCGGTCGGGGGGACACGGGCGGGGCCGATCTGGGTGGGGACACGGGCGGGGCCGCAAGCGATGGCCCCGCCCCCATCCCGGACAGGGCGGGACGGAGCCGGGGCTCGGGGGGCGGGGCCGGGAGGCGGAGCCGGGGGCGGAGCCGGAGCTCCGTGAGGCGGCCCCGGGGGCGGTCCCGGGGCTCCGTGAGGCGGCCCCGGGGGCGGAGCTTATGGGGCGGGTCCCGGTACCGGCTCAGGTGTGCGGGGCGGGTCCCGGTACCGGCTCAGGTGTGCGGGACCCCAGGGCGGCTGCGCGGGGCGGGGCCGAGCTTATTTACAAGCCGGAAATCGCCTTGGCCGCCATTTGCTCACTCTGAGCACGCTGCGGACGGGTGGCTCCTGTCTCCGCTCCGCAGCTTCTTCTCCCCTCCTGTTCCCCCCTCTACCTTTCCTTTCTCCTGCTTGTATTCCCCTTCTTTCTCTGCTTTTCTCTCTCCCCCCTTTTCTCTCCTCCTCAAAGCCGACTCCTTTCCCTCCTCGTTCGGCCTCCCCTCCTGTCTCCCCCTCTACCCTTCCTTTTCCTCCCTGTATTCCCCTTCTCTCTCTTCCCCCTTTCTTTCTCCTCCCCTTTCGGCCTCCCCTCCTATCCTCTCCTCTACTCTTCCTTCTCGTCCCCGTATTCTTCTTCTTTGTCCCCCAGACCCTCCCCTCTTCCCCTAAACCTGACCCTCACCCGCTCTCCTCTTTCCTGTCCTGTCCCTACTCCGCTACTCCCTTCTATTCCCCCTCTCTCCCTTCTCTGTCCACTGTCCCTCTGCCCCCCTCCCAGCCTTTCCCTTCCCCTTTCGCTTTCCTCCCTGCTATCCCTCCTCTCCTCCCGTTTTCCCCGTTCCTTCTTTCCTCTCAGCCGCGGGGCTGGGGGTGCCGGACAATAATAAAGCCCAGAGGGCCGGAGTCCGGCGCCCCCGGTCCCGCTGGAGTCCCCGGTGGTGTCCCCATGCAGTTCCATGGTTGTGAACGCAGGGGACACGGCCGGGGCTCCGCTTCCCCCATCACACGGGGCCCCCTCCTTTGGACGGGGTCCCGGGGGTGGTGCGGGGTCGGGTTTGGGGACCCCCTTGGTTGGAGGGGGTCCCGGGGTGGGGGGCCCCCTCATTAGGAGGGGGTCCGGGAGGTTGGGGGGGGGGGTTAGGAAGGGCCCCCTCATTAGGAGGGGGTCCTTGGGAGGGGGGGGGGGGTTAGGAAGGGCCCCCTCATTAGGAGGGGGTCCTTGCTGGGGGGGGGGGGGGGGGGTAGGTTAGGGAGGGCCCCCTCCGGAGGGGGGGGTCCCGGGGGGGGCGGGGCGGGCCCCCTCCGGAGGAGGGGGTCCGGGGGAGGGGGGCGGGGCGGAGGGGGGCATTCCCCCCTCCTGGCCCCGCCCCACTCCCCCGGGCCCCCTCCTCCGGACGGGGTCCCGGCCCGGCCCCCTCCCGGGGACCCCCTCCTCCGGACCGGGGCCCGGGGGGAGGGAGGGGGGGGCGGGTGGGGTGGGGGGGAAGCAGAGGGGGGCACGTCACTCTGCGCCGTGACAGAAAAACACACGCGTAAAAAAAAAAAAAAAAACCCACGCACACACGAACGACCCTCCCGTCCGGGCCCCCTCCCTCCCCCCCGGGCCCCGGTCCGGAGGAGGGGGTCCCCGGGAGGGGGCCGGGCCGGGACCCCGTCCGGAGGAGGGGGCCCGGGGGAGTGGGGCGGGGCCAGGAGGGGGGAATGCCCCCCCCCTCACCCCCACCCCCTCCCCCGGACCCCCCTCCTCCGGAGGGGGCCCGCCCCGCCCCCCCCGGGACCCCCTCCTCCGGAGGGGGCCCTTCCTAACCCCCCCCTCCCCAAGGACCCCCTCCTAATGAGGGGGCCCTTCCTAACCCACCCCCCCTCCCCCCCGGGACCCCCTCCTAATGAGGGGGCCCTTCCTAACCCTCCCCCCCGGGACCCCCTCCTAATGAGGGGGGCCGCTGTAACCCGCACCGCCCACCCCCCCAGTGTGATGTAGGGACAGCCGGAGCCCCGGCGGTGTGGGCCGGTGTATTGGACTGGAATGGGGCGGACCCGCAGAGCGGCTCCGGCCCCGTGTGGGGACCCCAGCGAGGGCGGGGGCGCCGGGCTCCGGCCCTCTGGGCTTTATTATTGCCCGGCACCCCGAGCCCCGCGGCTGTGAGGAAAGGAGGAGAGCGGGGAATGGAGAACGAGAATAGGGGAGCGGAGGGGCTCGTGAGGGGAAGGTGGGGAGAGGTCGGGGTGTGCAGGGGGGCAGGGGGGAAGGCAGGGTGGGGAGAGAAGAGAGAGAGGAAGGATGGAGGGATAGGGTAGGGTAAGGTAGGGCTGAGTAAGGGAATAGAGAGGTGGGATGGGAGGAGGGGGCGGGGGGCGGCCGTAGGGGGGGAGGGAGGGGAGGGCTAGGGGGGAGAGGGAGGGGGGGGGGGGTTTGGGGGGGGGGGTGGGTGTAGGGGGTGGGGGAGGGGAGGAAGGGAGGGTAAATAGAAGAGGTATAGGGAAACAGAAATACAAACGAAAAGGAACGCAGAAGAAAATATAGAGGAACAGAGATATAGGGCCGCGGCCGGCAGCAACCTCCCTCACCGAACGCCGAGGAGCAAATGGCTCCGCTGGGTCCTCCCCGCGCCTTAAATCCCGCAAGGCCCCGCCCCGCGCAGCCGCACTGGGGTCTCTCACACCTGTGCAGGCCCCGCCCCTCACACCTGTGCCGGCCCCCGCCCCTCACACCTGTGCCGGCCCCGCCCCCGGGGCTCCGCCTCCCCCCGCCCCCCTCCCGCCCATAAAACCCGGCGGATCCGCGCCTGTCCTGCTTTCTTCGGGGGCTGCTCGTCTCAGGATGCTGTGGGAGTGTCGGTCGGAGCGCTGCGAGGAGATCCAGATGGGGGCTGTTGCTGGTGCTGCGTGGAGCCCAAGGTGCTCTGGTAAGACCAGCGTCGGGGTCTGGGCCCGGGGATTTGAGTCCTGGTCCTGCCGGTGTCTGTTGTGTGAGGCGGGCAGGGTATGGGTGCTGGGGCTGGATGATTGAGGCGGGATTGGGGCTGGGATCGGATCGGCATCGCAGCAGGTAGGAAGAGCCGCTCCGGGATGGGGGCTGGGACCGAGCCCGGCGCTGCCGCTCCTGCTCCGGCCGGCGCGGGGCTGGGGTCCCGCCAGGGCTCCGGGCAGCGGGGAGCCTGGGCTATGATGGTGCTGGGCCGCCAGGAAGACGGCGCTTCCCTGGAGTAGCCCCGGGATCGCGGCTGGAAACGGGTAGGGCAGGGGAATTGCCTGTGGCAACCCCAGGACCCTGGTGGACACGGCGCTGCCCCTCAGCACCCGCGGGGACACCGAGCCCGGCCCCGGCAGCACCGCGGCCACCGCGCTCCCCTGTGTGAGCTACAGCGCCCACATCCCCTTCTCTGTGTCCGCATCCCTGGGGAATCCCCACCAAACGACCGGGGCTGTAGCGCTGAGGCCGCTGCTCCTGCTGCGCTGTGCCCGGTGTGGGCCCGGAGGAGGCCAGAAGCCCCCGAAGGACTGGCAGCCCTCACGCCTTGGGATCTGCAGGAGGAGCTGTGCCTGCAGCGTGCCGAACACGCGTCCTGGCACAGGCACCGGGGTACCGGGACAGCGCTAGCATAGACACAGCTAAAGCGCTGCCTGTGACCCCTCAGCCAGGGGCTGCTCTGAACAGGCAGGTGGAGACACCTCAGCCCGGACAGACGCCACCGACAGCCCAGAAGGACCCCAAGGAGCAGCTGGCATTGCCTGGGATGGAGGCACGGGCCGTTTGTAGGGGGCCTCAGACAGCAGTTCCCATTTCCGATCTCCCAGAGCTCCCACACAGCTGCCAGGTATGTCCTGACTACCCCAAGTCCCTTCCCTCCTTTCCAGCCTGAGGCCATCGTCCCTCACAGCATTAAAGCCAGGGCCATCTTCCCTCACAGATATTGAATCCCAAGCAATATACCTTGGAGATGCCTTAAAATCAGAGGTTTGAGCAGGATGAAGTTTGGAACTTTCCAGGGAGCCAGCTGGAAGTGCAGAAGTGGTGGAAAACTTTCACAGGTGGGTCCCACTGGAGATGTACTGAAGGCAGGGATGCCCATCCCTTTCCTGAGGGGAAAAAAACACGCAGAAGGCTTCTGCTGAGGCTCTGAAGGGAGCTGGGCTTCTGCAGGGAGAGGTGTGCTGCCTCAGCACAGGCTGGGAGTGCATCCAGCCACCACCTTGTCCTGCTTTAAAATATCAACTGGAGCCTGAGCTCCGGGGGAGGGGGGGTGAAATCATCTGGGTTCCAGGGAACTCTGTCAAGTGACCCCAGGGACATCAGTGGAGCTGGGGGATGAGGGTTTTAAATAGCATTTCTGTAGAATATAGACCGGCCCTTGTCCTGATCCCACTCAGCTTCCCTGGAACCTCTGCTGGTTCCTGACACAGCTGGTGTAACAGTGGTACCCCTGCATGGGAATTTCCACTCTCCATGAGCTGCTCTCAGGTTATTCCAGCAGGAATTCATCAGGGAATGTGGAGCTGTGGGTACAATTCATCTGAACTAGCAAAGCTGATACCAACCCCCAAATCCAGGCACCACATAGAGAACAATCTTTGTGCTGCCCTGTCAGTTAAAACCCCTGGGCTGGGAAATTTCAGCAGCCAAATACATGGAATAATCTAAATCCCAGCAGCCAGCGTTCCCCAGAGGGACAATCCCAGTCTGAGAGTGGCAGCTCGTGTGGTTCCCCTGCTGCTGGTGGGACAAATTCCCCTCAGGATGGGCGGGAGCTGGGAGCGGGGATGGGGCAGCGCCACCGGGAGATGAGGCCACTGCAATGGCGGCTGGATCGGCTGGGAACATTCCTGCCCTGCAGGAGCCAGGAGCCAGAGCAGATCCCTCCTGGCCAGGCTGGGGGCAGCCGCTGGGTCTGCTCTGGGGGAAACACCAAACACCCTGTCCCTGCCAGGAGCCCTGACCCTGCTTTCCCTCCCAGCTCCTGGGCAGGGTCAGGGACACCGTGAGGGGGTTCCTGACCCAAACAACCCCACAGCCCACAGAGTGAACGTTCCCAACAGGGAAATGCAGTGTTGGAATAAAAAACCTGTTAAAAAGGCTATGACAACACTGTAGTAGGATTCCCAGGAACCTTCTGGTTTGCTCCTGGTTCTGTTTTTATGTATTTTTAGTCCCTCAATGGGCACTTTGTAGGGTTTATTCTGGGACTCAGAGGTTGAACAGGGCTGGCTTTGGATTGGCCTTCACCTCTGGTCCCCACTTGGGCCGAGCTGGGTGAACTCCTCACCTCAGCTTTTCCCTCCAGAATATCCCTCACTCGTTTCCCTGCAGGTGAGCTCGGGTTTTGCCCCAAACTGTCCTCTCCTCACCTGCCCTTGCCCTCCCAGTGCCCCTCCTGTTCCCCACAGGTGACACCAGGGAGGCCCCTCTGCCTTTCTCCTGCCCCTCTCCAGCCCCAGCTGCTCCTCTGCTCGCTCTCTCTGCCTTGTCCCACACAGCAGGGCACAAAAGGGGAAAGGTTCATTAATTTAATTAATTCTGCTATTAATTAATTAATTAATTCCAATTCCCCAGTGAGAAGAACAGGAACTCACAGCCACTGAGGCCTGACAGGTTCCTGCAGCGAGGGCTCAGCGCACGTCCACAGAGGTAAGTCCAGCATCTGAAAGAAAAAAAACACAGCAGAAAAATGTGATTTATTTGGCTTCTAAGTTATTTCAGGTTCTTAGAGCCCAGCCAACGTTTGCTCTTGATTTTGGTTGGGTGAATCGTGAGCAATGGGCACAGGACATGCCATTTGTGGGGGCAGAAGAAGTAGATTGAGCTCACCTGTTTTCAAGTTATTAAAAAAGATTTATAACCCTTTAAACACAACACCCTTTAATTACCAAAATGTTTCTTCCATGATTTTAACTGATTCTCAGTATGTTTTATAAGACTTAAAATAACACCTCCTCCTTAACAGACTCATAAAACATTAGACAAAAAGTTCTAATTCCAGTCTCAGGCTTACACAAGAGTCCCTCCCCATAACCAAACAAAAAAATCAAACTAATGTACCAAAAGTAGACCTTATTAACATGAAAAAATACAACTCAACCATATCCAAAAAAACCCCAAATTTATTTCTACCAAATACTCTTCAAATTCTAAATCAAAAACTCTTTAAAAAGTAACAAAAACCATAAAAAAATTCTTCAAATATCAAAAACCTGAACCTATAAGTAAATATTACTCAAAGCCCACAAAAATATAGAACAATCTAATCAATATCCTAAATACAAAAAACCCCCACTATACAAATTAGTACCCTGCTAAATAGAACATCAATGAAAATCTTTTACCAAGAAACAGCTGCCAATAAATAAAACCACCATGTAAAGATGTAGGTAGTAATAGTAACCCAACAATCTGGAGTTTCTCCAAAACACTTCAAAAAACTTCAGTATTTATAAATAACAACCTTCAGTAACTCAAGTATTAATAAAATCAAACAAAATTAAATTTCACTACATTTAAGTCTAAATAGTCTTAAATTTCATTTTATCACTGTAATGTTCTATTCAAGTTAGGCTTATTATTCCTTACTATCAGAATTAATTATTACTAAATTTAAATAAATTTAAATGTTATTTAATGAAACTTATCCTAAATTTTATTAAAAATCATTTATCTAAACTACAAAGTATATAGTTAATTTTCTTAAAAAAGTAAAACAAGTCCAATTAAAACAACTGAAATTAAACTCTAACAAATACCTACTCATAAGTAAAAAAATACAGTTTATTACATCATCAACTGCATAAAAAATTCTATTATTCATTACAATCTCTAGTTTTTATCTTTTATAAATAACACCAAAAAATAGCAAGTATTATTAATAGCATACTATTTTAAGATTTTTATTTTATTTCCCTAGTATATAAATATTTTTTAAAAGTTATCTTAAGTTCTCCAAATGCTTAGTACTAATCTACTAATTATAGAAAATTATTAATTTTATAATAAACGTTATTTATAAAATATTATTATAATATTTACAACTGACTTTCACATACTTTACCATCTCTTTATATAATTACCAAAAACATACAAAATTTCAAAATCCTACTTTTTTATTCTCTAACCACTTGTACCTCTCTCAAACCAAGTTAACTCCCTAACTAATCTCTACACTAATTCTATAATTTAACCTAATATTATCTCATAATTTAAAATATTTTTTGAAGTTAAAAAAATTCAAATTTATTAAACCTATTAATCCAAACGCCAAACTGTTAATCTTATAACTTTCCTCAGTTATTATTACAAAAACCCTTCAATGAAAAATCCAACTACAACATTAATTTATTTTTCCAAGTTCCATACCAAGTGATCAATGTCTCCTACATTTCCTCCACCCTCACACTCTCAATATCCAAATCCAAACTGACAATCCTGTCTATAACCACTTTCAAATCTTTAAAAAATATGTTACTATATTCAAAACATCTCCATTCTAAAAATGCTTTAAAAACCCCAATTATTAAATAATTTAATTAGTCTTTAATCCTAAAATTTTTACTCATAATTACCATTTTTAAAAATTATATAAAAATGTATTAAGTAACATCCACCAATTAAAATTTAAACTATAATCAAACCCTAGCTCTACCTAAATAAAACAATTAACAACAAACCCAAATATTTGCTACATCAAAAATAAAATTCAAATAACTTTAACAATTTAACTTTATCAATATAACAACTAAACCTATTTTAACAATTATGTAACCTTCCACTAATTTAAAATTTATCAACTGTTACAAACTCTAAAATAATGTACAGTATTTTAATACTTAATAAATATATCATTTCACATGTTACTAATTATATATAATCTAAATAATTCCTAATTGATTTAATTTTTTCTTTACTGCATACATTATTTTAATCTAATATTTCTTCATACTTATAACAAAATAAAATTGTAATAATAACAACTTAAATAAGTATCTCACAAATCTCTAAGCAATTTTACAAACCAAAATGTATCAATAGTTTATTTCTCATATGAAAACATAAAGTTTACTTACATCTCAACAAGTACAAAAACCCAGGTAAATTTCAATAAAAAACACAAAACCACATCACACAAAACCCACACTGACCACTCCACCACTAAAAAAACAATGTCAATTACACAATGTAAAATACAAATGTAAATTACACAAAAATTCCAACCTACACCTAACATCTTGTATTACACCCACCAAAAACTATCAACTTTAGGTTTCTTTATAAATATAAAAATCAATAGTATAAAATTCTTATTAAATAATAACTTAAAAATATAAAATTCAATCAAACATAATGCCTCTATTTAGTTTATTTACTTTTAATTATACAACTTTACCGATTAACCAACCTAAACCAAACATTTAAATAACTTTAGCGTTTCAAGTTTAAATACTTTGTATTTATCTATGACTACTCAAAAAAACTCATTCTTTACTTACCTAATCAATGTACCAATTACAAATAATCCCTATAATGAAAAACAAGTGCATTATTAACTCTTAATATAAAAATAATTACCAATATAAAACATTAAAAATCATTTGTTCATCAATACTAATCAAAGCACAAAAATAATTTCAAACCTTGAAACTTAAAAAAAACCACATCACTTTTTATGCCACCTATTACTTCAGCAACACTAAAATGATAAAATAAATAAAAATATTATCTAAACAAGCAATCTAACACCACATCCTTTACATGAAATAACTTTTTAACAGATATCAAAAGTCTTAAACACGCAGTTTTACAAAACAAGAAGAAATTTTTTTATTAACACAAACATAAATATAAAAAAAATTAATGAAATATAGTCTAGAAATTTATCTAATAACTCAAAATCTATTTATAAAAATATACAACTTTGAAAAATATCAAAAATAAGAATAAATAATAAAACTTAATGGAACAATTTATTTAATAAATCAAATTTAACACCATCATTAAAAAATAAAACAAAATTGTACATTTTAATTTTTATAATACTATTGCTACTACTAATAACACCTTATTTACATTAATATATGCAACCAATGCTTAACAAATCTATTAATAAAAATTTCTTAATACAGAGAGAGAGGGGAGGTGTGGGCATTGGAAAACCAGGAACTTCCAGGTACACCAAAAGATTGGATCTGCAGGTGGGAAGAAGCTTGGATTGATGTAGAAATACAACACAGAGGCATTAGCAGAAAAATAATCCATAAAATAATGATGTGTCTATGGTTGTAAGTGAGAAGCTGTAAAGGTGAGGTGGTGAAGGGTTTATGATGTGAGGCTGGGGTTGTGCAGAGCAAACCAAGAGTTCAGAATCATTACAGAAGCACCTGTGGGCAAGGGAGAAGCCATTGGACAGAAGTGCCCACGGTGCAGCAGAATTAAATAAAAGTGATGGGTTAGAAAAGCAAAATCACCCTGTGGCAGCTCTGTGGGTTAGAAAGTGACACATTGCCTTGTGACAAAGAACTGGGACTGCTCTTGAACTGTGGCAAACTGCAAACTGCTCACCCCTGTAAAGTGTGCTGGGCTCTGGGGCTGATCTGTACCTGAGCAATGAATCCTTCTCACCCAGAGCCAGCCCCTGAGGCTGATCTGTACCTGAGCAATGAATCCTCATGACCCAGAGCCAGCCCCTGAGGCTGATCTGTACCTGAGCAATGAATCCTCATGACCCAGAGCCAGCCCCTGGGGCTGATCTGTACCTGAGCAATGAATCCTTCTCACCCAGAGCCAGCCCCTGGGGCTGATCTGTACCTGAGCAATGAATCCTTCCAGCCCCTGAGGCTGATCTGTACCTGAGCAATGAATCCTTCCTGCCCCAGAGCCAGCCCCTGAGGCTGATCTGTACCTGAGCAATGAATCCTTCCTGCCCCAGAGCCAGCCCCTGGGGCTGATCTGTACCTGAGCAATGAATCCTTCCTGCCCCAGAGCCAGTCCCTGAGGCTGATCTGTACCTGAGCAATGAATCCTTCTCACCCAGAGCCAGCCCCTGGGGCTGATCTGTACCTGAGCAATGAATCCTTCTCACCCAGAGCCAGCCCCTGGGGCTGATCTGTACCTGAGCAATGAATCCTTTTCTCACCCAGAGCCAGTCCCATCCCTTGGTTGCTGACAGTGGTGGCTCTGGGCAGGGCTGTCTCTGTGTCTCCTCCAGCAGACAGGGCTGGGGCTATGTCACAGACATCTTTTATGGAAAATCCTTTCCTTGGGATTTTTCCTCCTGAGAAGCTGAGGGGCCTCAGGAACAAAATGTCAGCAATGGTTTTCTGCTGCTGTGGGATGCAGCAGGTGCATCTGGGATTGGGCTCATGGGGTTGTTTCTAATTAATGGCCAATCACAGCCAGCTGGCTCAGACTCTCTGTCCAAGCCCAAGCCTTTGTTATCATTCCTTCTTTTTCTATTCTTAGCCAGCCTTCTGATGAAATCCTTTCTTCTATGTTCTTAGTGTAGTTTTAATGTAATATACACCATAAAATAACAGAACATCCTTGTGAAAGATGGAGCCAGCTCCTCGTCCCGTCCCTCACCCTCGGGCCCCCGTGAGCACGGTCACAGGGCTGGGCTGGCAGCAATGGCATTCCCAGGCAGCAAATGCCAGCAGAGAGGAAAAGGGGAGCCCTGTGTCCCTCTGACTCACCCCACAGCCTGGGCAGGACCAGAGCCCTCCAGTGCAGACCCTGCTGCTGAGGCCTCGTGGCTTTGGCTGCTCAAACACCGAAGATTTGGGCAAAGATGGGAGGAGTTTGGTGACTTTTCCTGTCCTGAAAGAGAGGAGGAAAAGAAAATTAAGTCCAGTGTGGAAGTCCAAGGATCCAGTTTTCACACTTCTGCTCTGATTGCTCACTATGGGGTTTTATCCATGAGAGGTGACACCAATTCAAACATAAAAGTGCCCTTCTCCAGCATTTTCATTCCTAACTATTTCAGACATTAAAATGAAACTCATTTTTCTTATTGCATTCTTTGCCTAATTCTAATAGAACCGTTTTTATCTCACATCTCACTTGTCAGTGCTTTACACTGGACTTTGTACAAAGGGCTGGTGGATCACAAGAGATCCCAAAGAGAAACCCCTCCAGAACCTGCCAGGGAAGGTTCCAAGGCACTCCAGAGCACAGCCAGCTGTTCCTGCCTTGCCAGGCCACACCATCCTGTCACATCCAGCTGGGCTGTGCAGGCCAGGCAGAGGCTGCCCTTCCCTCTGGGGAGCACAGAGCACAGACATCCTGGGCAGCACCTGAAACAACAGGGGAAAGGCAAAATGGAAATGTTTACTGTCAGAAAAGGAGTGCCTAAATTCAGAACTTCTGGACAAATTCACTAACACCACTTTCACATGATAAACACAGGCCATGCCCATCCTTCCAGCCCAGGTGAAAACAGGAAAGAGAACTACAGGAAAAGCAGGAAGACAGAGTCCCTGATTTGGATACATTTCCCAAAGTCTCTTCTGCGTTGTACGCTCTTTGTGCTCTTTAAAAGAATGGATTGCTGCTAAAAAAATAACATTTTATCAGCCACAGCCAGGGGGTGAGCTACAGCTGCAGAGACAGGCGTGGGGGAGAGCTGGAGAAGTGAAGGAACAGGCAATCCTGTCCAAAATAAATCTTGTTTAGATTCATCAGTGCTGGGAACGAGGAAAACACGCTGTCCTGGATGCACCAAGGACACAATGGCCCTGGCTTGGTCGTTGTCCTTTGCCCCTGAGCTTTGGCTTCACCCCCTCTCCAGAGGAGCAGGGAATTCCTGCAGGGAAAGGGGACTCGGGTCCCCCTCAGGGATGTGTCAGGAAAGGAGGGGAGCTCTTTGGAGTGGCTGACCAGTCAGAAGCTGTGCCAGGGGCAGCTGGGGCTGGAAATGCTCACTCAGGATTGCACACCTGGGGCTGCCAGGAAGCAGGGGCACGCACGTGTGCCCATTTCTGTGACAGGCCAGTCAGAAGTCATGTAACCCAGCAACTGCTCCTCTCTGCACCACTTAGAAATACATGAAAACCAGAAAAAAACCAAGCAAACCAACCAAACAACAACTGCAAGAGAGAGGGCTCCGTGCAGCATCACCTCAGTGTTCTGCTCAGCATGGGCAGAAGGAAGGAGGAAAGCTGCTCCTGCAGTACTGCCAGCTGTGCACCCAGCAGTCTGAGAGAGCCAGAACTGCCCTCAGCTGCAGCTCCCTCCTTGCTCTGAGGGACCAGAGGCACCACACAGCCCAAAACTGGCAGCACTCACCCCCCTGCTAGCACGGACACCTTCACATTCCCTCTTTGGCCAGACAAACCCGGGATGGTTTCAGCACTCACCCCCCTGCTAGCACGGACACCTTCACATTCCCTCTTTGGCCAGACAAACCCGGGATGGTTTCAGCACTCACCCCCCTGCTAGCACGGACACCTTCACATTCCCTCTTTGGCCAGACAAACCCGGGATGGTTTCAGCACTCACCCCCCTGCTAGCATGGACACCTTCACATTCCCTCTTTGGCCAGACAAACCCGGGATGGTTTCAGCACTCACCCCCCTGCTAGCACGGACACCTTCACATTCCCTCTTTGGCCAGACAAACCCGGGATGGTTTTGCTTTCCTGTCAGCCTTGGCAAATTCACTGACATTTATCCAGGCAGCAGACTCCCTGTGTAGCTCTGGGGCCAGATCCCTGTGGCACAAAAACCCGAGAGAAGATTGGAAGGAATCTGTTAAATCTTCCTCACACAAAGCACCAATTTATCAGATTATGCTCCTTTCTTACCCCCAGATGGGGCAGCTGAGGGGCCTTTAAAAACTTTGATTCCATGTTCAGTCTCATGTGAAGGGTGAGACAATACAGATGTTATAATTCACACCATCACAATCAGAAGCCAACTATTTCCTAATTCCAATACACTCTAAGTGTTTCTTGGCCTGTCAGCTTTTGTCACACCATGCTGCAAATTCCTTAAAGCCAATCATCTAAAGCTACCCCTCCTGAATCTTAGTACAATGCATCTTTCATAGTTCTATTTCTCCAAAGTACCCAGTCTTATTTACAAAGTCACCCTTTAAAACTTGTTTCTAGCTCCAGTTCTCTCTCAGCAATGTCTGTCCCATTCCGTGGCATTTCTAAGTCAGCGTTTCTTATCTCAAAATCTCCATACAGACACACACTGTGTGAGCCTTCTGTCAAACTCTGGACATTTCCTGCCCATCCATGTCCCTCACCAGAGCTGCTCTCGGCCAGCACGGGGCTGTGAGTGCTGCCGCAGGGCACAGGCTCTGAGGAGCGCTGCGGCAGTGACATCAAAGCCAGCAGAAGCCATTGCCGAGCGGACAGAGATCCTCACCTGCTCTGATGATGGCTGAGTCCCTGCGGCTCATCCCCACCGTGTCCCTGCTCCAGGGAGGATGCCCCGGGGCCACACGCTGCCCTGCCGGCAGGAGAGAAAGGGTTAATGAAGCTTTAGGGGCACATTCTGTCCCAGAGGGGTTTGACACAGGCACGGGAAGCTCTCACACGCAGATTGTCCTGAGCCGGAGCACTCCAGGGCATCCTTGAGACAGAGAGCAGGAAAAAGCCGCAGCTGCAGCTCTGATCCTGCTCCGTGCTCTCCCAGAGGGGCAGGAACCCCATTTCCTCCCGACCCCGGGAGCCCCAGGGAAAATCCCTTACTGGGCTGGCACTGGAGCTGCCGCTTTCCTGGCACTCTTGCCCCAGAGCCAGCGGTTTCTGCGGGAGCAGGAGGTGTTCGTGCGGGTCAGAAGCTGCCCGTGCCTGGAGCATTCCCTTGGGGACACGAAGCTTCCCACGTGCATTCTGCAGCCCAATTTGTCATTTAGGCGCGTTTCAAGAGAGTTTAAATGGGAGTGAGGTGGCTTGGTGCCAGCACAGCGTCAGATACGGGGCATCAGGAGACTCACCGGACGACATTCCCTGCAGACTGTCCCCTCTCAGCACCACAGCTGCAGCATTCGCGTTCCTCACCGAGCTCTGTTTCCAGGACTCCCCTCAGGAAACTGGTGGCGCTTCCAGATGCAAATCCCCGAGGCACCACCGCTCCTTTCCCCCCGCGAACCCCCCTCCCTCCGTCCCTTCCTCCTTTTATAACCACGGCTCCACCCAGGATTCAAAGGGAGGCTCCCAGGTGCTTCCCGAGACCCAAATCATGCCAGGTGTTTCGGGAAAGAAACAGAAATAAGCTCGTCCCTTTTGGGGTAACATCTGAGGCTTTAGAGAGATGGCCGTGGGTCAAGGATCTGCTGCCTTGGCAGGGCAGAAGGTTGAGCTGCTGTTCGTGACGGTGACAATGACCTGAATAATTGGAGATCAGGCCTGGGGAGGGGGGTCCTGCCCAGACCCCCTGCACTGGCCTGGGGAGGAATGTGGGTTTTTACCCTAAAACCACTCTGGGAAGGACGAGATGCAGAAACCCTCACCCCAAGGCTCACCAAGTGGTTTGAGGGCAGTGCAGCACTGGGCTCTTGTGCAGGGCAGGCTGGATCCCTTTGCCCGACACAGACCATGAGCCTCAATCCACCCCAGAGAGCTGCTGAGCTCCCAGCAGGATTGTCCCTGCATGGTGGAACGTGTTCCCAAGCTCCTGTGGAGCTGGGTGAGCACCCTGGAGTGACACCCACCCCCAAACCCATGGCACCCTCAGAGCGTGGCTGAGCGCTGGGTCTGAGGCTGCCAGGAGGGGCTGGGCTCAGAGGCTGGAGTGAAGAAAGACCCCTTTGCCTCCTTTAAAAACCCTGAGTTTAACCCTTGGTGCTCGTTAGCCCCACAGGCAGAAGGGTCCCTCAGGATGTGCCCTGAGCCTCCACACTCACACCTGAGCTCGCTGGGCACGAGGCCCTGACACCTGGAGCCACCTTGGCCCCATCCCTCGGGGTGATTTCTGTTTTCTCTTTCAGGAGCATGGGATGGGAACCCCCCTCCTCCTCAGCAGCCTGGGGAGCTGAACTGAGAAGAGGAACTCCCACCACCAGAAGCTCATCAATGCTGCTCCAGCCCCTCGTGGACACAGCTCCTGCTGGAATAGCAATGATAACACGACTGGTTCTCATGAAGCAGCAGTTCTTGTTCTCAGGAGCACATTTACAGGAGGAGACAGCTGTACCCTGACCAGGATTAGAGGGCCCTGCTGCCAGCCAGCTGGAGGAGAAGGAGAATTGGATCTCCTGGGCTGTGTGGGTCCATGGCCTGGCACGTCTGACCCACAGAGGGACAGCTGTGGTGCACACTGGCCCTCAGTGTCCCCTGATGCCACCAAGGGGCGTGGGAGTGGATCCCATTTCCATTTCTGGGCTCACAGGAGGACCCCAGCAGCTGCAGGGAATTACCTGGGAAGGAGTGGCACAAACAGCCCGTGGTGGCTGGCCCAGAGGCTCTGCAGCCCCAGCACAGACCGGCTCAGCAGTGAGTGCTGCAGAGACCCAAAGGACAGCGCTGGGCTTTTGGCATTGCTGCTGCACAGACAGGAGCCATCAGAGAGCTGAGTGCCCTGCCTGGTCCCTCGGATCAGCCTCTGCTGTGGGACTGCTGGGGGCTGAAGAACAGCAGGTACCAATCCCCACAGCAGCCCTGCACCATCAGCAACTCCTCATCATAACACAAACTGGCTCTAGAACAGCCCAACAAAGGCAAAGTGCTTTGGTTTCTTTCCTCCCCTTAATTAAACCAAAATAAAGCCCTAAATAAGACTTGTCTCAGCTCGTGTCTGTGATTCCCATTCCCAGGAGATGATTTGGGAACTGGGGAGCTAAGGGGGGCTCAGCAAGGCCTGTTCAGCCCTGCAGGGCCAGTGCCTGAGTCCAGTGGACATTTGGGATTATTTTCAAACCAACACAGGTTATTTAAAGTCATTTACGTCCCTACTCGGGTTACTTTAGGTAATGTGAGGTCAAAATCGAGGTTACTCCAGGTCATAGGGGTCATTTGAGGTCACAATCGGGGTTACTCCAGGTCACAGGGGTCATTTGAGGTCATTTGACTATTTTTAAATTTATTTTATAATTTAGTTTATTTCCCTTTAAATCTTTCCTTGACTTAGTTTGGGATGACTTGAACAGGAAGCCCAGTGCACAGTGACTCTGTCTGTGGCCTTTGGTGTCCTTAACATGCAGCCAGGACAGCAGGACAGCAGCCAGGACAGCTGGACACGAGTGGCCATCCCCCCCGGGTCAGGGTCTGCAGAGCCCTGCAGATTTGGATTTCTCAGCTGGAAGAGAGGGCTGGGAGAGCTGGGCTCTCAGTGGGCAGGGATCTCAGGGATTCTGGGGCTGGCAGAGCTGCCAGGGTCTGCTTTACTCCCTGGATTTCCTTGCAGGCAGCAGACAGAGGCAGGAGGGGCCGGTCCAACGTTCAGATGTTGTTAAAAGGGTTAAGGCAGTGACAACCGGGGTTGGTAGGGCCACAGTGAGATGAGGAGGGACTGGGAGGAAAGAGGAGTGCTATGAACAGTCTGTACGAACAGTTTGGGGGTGTCAATGTGCCCTGCAACCACCAAACATCACAGCAAATAAAGCAGCAGGATATTACAGCAGAGATTTACTAATATTTAACAATATTACTACATTTATTAATCTATAACAATATAACAATATTTACCCGGCTCTTTGCCAGCAGCGCAGGGAGGCTGAGGGCTGTGCCTGGGCTGTGAGCACAGAGCCCCAGGGCAGCTTCACCCCTGCAGGAGAGCAGAGCTGCAGCCCACAGGAACCCGAGCCAAGGTTTTACAAGTGACATTCCCCGGGCCAGGCCTTCCCTGCCACAGCAAAGTGCAGCCAGGAGGGATTATTCCCACCCCTGGAGCACAGAGGGACTCCTTCCCAAAAAGCCTTTGCTCTTGTTCCTGAGCATCCTCGCCTCACCTGTCTCATGGAAGGACATTCAGCCATCCAGAGAAGCTCCAGGAATCCCCCTGGACACTCGGGGTCACTGGATGTGGGCTCTGGCTGGGTATACCCCAGCAGGAGCAGCCCTGGGCATGGGGATGTGTCCCAGCTCCTCCACCAGCCAAACTTTTCCTGTTCCCCTCAGGAAACTCATCCACAGCAGCAGGTCAGTTGCAAGGTCCAGGGGGTTTTTGCTACAGTCTTACAGCTTCTTCTTCCTGGTCCCAGAGTCAGTTCAGAGCATCTGACCAGGGCAAAGGAGGAGGAAAATCTCTGTGTCCCTTAGCAGGCACACATGCACCCCTTCAGTGCCAAACGCCTTCCCTGCATACAGACATAAAACACCTGCTGATCCTCTGAAAGGGATTTTCCCCACCAGAATCCACAATGTGGGAACTCCAGCTCTGCTCAGCAGCAGGAGGCAACCCCCAGTTCCCTGTCCTGCAGATCAGCTCCACCTGAGACAGCTGTTCCTGCAGCAAACTCAGAAATGTTAGTGCCGCACACTCTGAAACTCTGTACTCCTGTGAGCCTGAAACGCCCCACACGCCACCAGAAATTGCCACTCGTGCCACTCAATCCCAGCCATGCCAGCAGCAGCCCAGCCTGGCTCTGCCCTTGCAATCAGGGCTGCATTCCAAGCCCACACAGGAGCACGGGGCTGTCTGAGCTCCCCTTTTGATCAGCTGGAAAAAGACAGAAATGGGGAATATGCAGTCATCGGGAGCTAATGCCAGACATGAAAAGCTCAGGTTTGCTTTGAAATGGATGTTAAAGGCTCAAATAAAGCAGTTTTATCTTTGTGCTCTTTGCAAATAAAGTTGCCAGTGCAAATGGCACACCCAGTTCCAGTTTGGTTCCTAGATGAGCCCACTGATAGTGGAAGCACTCGGGATCCTCTAATTAATGTTACAGAAAACTGTACTTAATTACTTCTTAAGCACTTACATCTGCATAAAGTTGCATTACACTGAATACATCATCATTTAAATCCATTACCTACACATAAATATGTATCAGATTTGCATTGCAAATGTCTTCATCCTCTGCTTTGTTAATCACAAATGTCGTATCTAAATTACTCCAAAATGTGCAATTCGGGCTTACTCACCAAATAGTTCCATATTAAACAAAATGAAAATCACAATAAAGAAAAGAAAAATCACAATAAAATAGGAGGTGGGGTTCCTCAGGGTGGAGGAAATTATTACCAAAGTCACCAGGATGACTCCACTGAAATCAGCTGTCAGTGACAGCTGCCTTGACAGACTTCATAGAGACAATAGGAAAAAAAAATATTGTTTAGTCCTAGAAAAACCTATTTACAAGTGCTTCCTTCAATTTCCATCTAGGATTAGTAAGTGCTGATTTGACTGCTCGAGTGATGAGCTGGAGACATTAAACCAGTTTTGTGGGGCCTGGAAAATTCCCCGTGCAGGATCTGAGCTGGTTGCCTTCAATGCAAATGCTCCTGAGTTAATCCATGTAATGAATTTCTGTGGAGCACGGCGCTGTCTCATCTCAGTTCATCTGAAGGCAAGTTAATAAAAGGCTCCTCTAATTAAATGCAGCTTTCCATGTTCCCTTTCAAATGGAGCAGCCAAATGAATGCACAGAGACATTGCTCTCCTCAGCCCAAACAGCCATTACAGATTTTCTCAGCAGCCACAGGCACAGCAAAGGGTCAGCCTGAGCCCTGTGCCATGAAATTGTCCCTTGAATGCTCAAATCCATCACTGCTGGGTGAAAAACCAGGAACACCCTGCTGAGCTGGGCCTTCCTTGGGCACTTACCATGGAAGTCAAATGCAGGCTCCAAGGCTTTCAGCTGGGAATACTGGAATTACAAACCATGCAAATGCTGTTGGATCCTGCAGGACAGACAGACAGACAGACAGGACCAGGCTGCATTCCCAAGGCAGCCTGGCAAGCCCAGAGCAGCTGGAGCAAGGTCAGGGCTTGGCTTGTTGGGCGTGCTGGGAGCAGCTCTGTGCTCTGAGGGGCAGGTGGGGACTGCCCGTGCTTTCCCTGGCTGGGAATTGCACTTGGCACGAGCACAGGGCTTCCTGAGCAGGGCCTGTGCTGAGTTTTACAGAGCAGGTGCTGCCTGCAGAGCACGAGGGGTGGCAAGCAGCAGGGAAGGCAATACTGGGGGGAAATGGTTAAAAATCCGTTCCATGAGCCACGTTCCGTGCCCTGCAGAGGAGATGAGGAGGATGCACCAGCTCCACGAGCATCAGAGAGATCCATGGGCAGTCCCAGAGGCCTCTGCTGGGGTAGCACAAACATCTCTGTGCCAGGACTGGAAGCTGGAGGCTTCTCTGTTCCCTGAGCTGTGCTGCCAGCTCCAGGCCTGTCCCAGGGCATTCCTCAGGGACACTCCACTCCGCAGGGAAATGCCCTGCTCCCTTTGCCCCTCAGGGAGGGGTACTGCACAGCAGCTCCTTCCCTGCAGCCCAGCACAGGCTGCTCACCTTCCCTGAGAGCCTCCTGACTGCTGCTGCCATTCCTCATTCCCAAAGAGAGGGAGGCTGTGCTCTGACCAAGCACCTGTGTGAGAACAGCCCCTGCCAGGCATCACAGAGCAGAGATCCAAGCCAGCAGCAAACAGCAGAGCAACAGCATCACTCCTCCTGGAGGCAAATTAAGAAGTCAACCAGCACATGCCGAGCAGGGAGATCACAGGATGCCCCTGGACCCCTGGCAGTGCCCAAGGCCAGGCTGGACGGGGCTAGGAGCATCCTGGGACGGTGGAAGGTGTCCCTGCCATGGCAGGGGCTGGGATGGATGATCCTCAGGGTCCTGTGGAGCCCAGAGTCCCCATGGGCAGCAGCTACACGTAGGCATGGACGCACGGGGCCGGCGCTCCCGCCCGGGGCAGCGCTGCCCGCGCCGCCAGCCAGGGGTGGCTGTGGCTGCCAGCCGTGCCGGCCCGGGCCCAGACGTGGCAGTACATGGCTCCTGCAGCCAGCAGCAGGGCACTGCTGGCCCAGCCCACGTAGAGGGCAGCCCCCAGCTCCCGTTTCAGGGGCACGGGCACCGCGGGGTCGTAGAAGTCGCGGACGATGGCGCCCCCGGTCCAGGACACCGGCAGCAGCACCAGGCCGCCCGTCAGCAGGAAGGCCACCCCCGCTGCCAGGATGAAGGTGCTGACGGCCTGGGGCCCCTCCTTGCTGGGCTGGCTGTACTTGACCCCCACGATGGCCACGAGGAAGGCCACGATGGCCAGCAGCACGGCCAGGCACATCAGGGCGCGCAGGGCCTCGAGCGGCGGCGGCAGCGCCAGCACCGAGTCGTAGAGCTTGCACTGCAGCCTGAGGCCCAGCTGGCTGATGCAGTCCATCCGCAGCCCCTCCCAGATGCTCTCAAACACCACCAGGTTGGCCTCCACGTGGGCAGACACCCTCCACTGGGGCATGGCCGTGGCCGCCAGCGTGCCCAGCATGCCCACGCCGCCGAACACCAGCCCGGCGATCTGCAGCACGCAGCAGGACATGCTGCCCAGAGATGATCCTCCTGCTGCCCCAAAAAGGTTCCAGCTGCCCCAGAGATGCTCCTCCTGCTGCCCCAGAGATGCTGCTCCTGCTGCCAAAGTCACCTGCTCACACCAGCCATGCACTCTGGAAAGCTCCAATGGAATCTGCAGGACGGGCAATGTCTTCTCCAGCGCTTCCTGGTGCAGCAGGTCGGGTTCCTGGGGAGAGGCTGGCTCCAGCCCGGAGCTCCAAGAGGTGGAAATCCATTCCTGAGTGCTCCAAGGCCCTGCTATTTATTGGCTTTAAATCCCCCTTGAGTGCAGCCCATCCAGCCGGGCAGGTTTGCAGCCAATGGCAGCCTGGGAGAGGTGGGGCAGGGCTGGTTTCACTGCTGCTCACAGGCTGCCTGAAGTGCTGCTGTAATTAGGCAAGTGGCAGGGATTCAATTAAAGGTGCCTCATTGCAGGGCTAACAATTTCTTAACTGCAAGATTGCAGCTCTGTTGAAATCCAGCACAGGAGGCCTGAACTTCCTCCTGCTGGAATATTGTTTGAAATGGGTCATTACAGTTGTTCTTACAACAAAAGCTCAACTTGAGGCTTGAGTGGGGCTCATTTCCTAAGTGCTGATTGTTATTTGCTTTCCCATCAGGCCAACAGGTACTTGGTGCAGCCCTTTAATGCAGATTTCTCGTTTTGATCAAGCACAAAAGCCTAATCAGGATCTTAGGCAGGTACAGGAAAGTCAAGTAATCCAGCCAACATCAAAGCCTCGCTCTTCCAAAATTCTTTCAAAATTCACCAGGGCAACAAATCCAAGAGGAGGCTGAGCTTCAGAGCTGCTGCTTTGGATGCAGGAGCAGAGGCACAGCTGGGGGATAATCCCCCATGAGAACCAGGAGGAGAACGTTGTCATCGTGTGGTCTCAGTGACACTGGGGGTGCTCTGGTGCGCTGAGGATGGGCAGGGCACAGATCCAGAGTCCCTCCCAGATCCCTGCAAGCCTGGGCAAACACCCCTGGCAGAGGCTGCTCTGCCTCAGGCAGCCCAGGAGATGCTGCTGCACCCACCTGGGCTGCTTTCTCTCCCACCCTGAGGTTTCTGCCTGATTTGATCTGCTATTATTTACAGATATGTAAGAAAGGCAATTTTTCTATCAGTAGAATTATGTCTGAAGTATGCTTTTGCATATATTTTTTTATGTGGCTTTTATATTGAGGTGCTAAGTGCCATTTTGTATTCACTGCATTAATCCTGTACAAAACTGCGGATCACACTCTTAGTGGCCTTAATGATTTGGTGTAAACTGTTGACACTTGGAGTTGTCTGACCTCTGAATTTCATAGAATTAATATTATTCTATTAAGAATTATTCTATTCTTAATGGAATAATATTAAGTATCAATATTAATTGATACTTAGTGTAAGTTTTCTAATATATATCAATATAGCAGTATATTGCTAAATACTGAGAGATATATATATATATATATCAGTATATCAATATAGCAGTACTGAGACAAGGCTGGATGGTGACAGCTCACAGCTGGTGGAGAAGCTGATGTGCTGCTGCTGCTTTCTCCAGCTCTTTGAACCAGCTAAAAAAAAATACAAGTTAAAAAATAAACTTATAATTTGGCCCACCAAAGCCCTGGAAGTGCTGTGGAAGAAGGAAATATTCTGGGTTTTTTTTTTGCTTGTGTGGAAACATCAGGCATTGCCTGTGATGGCATTAATTTAATTACAGCTTTAGGTGCCTGCACAACATGCTGAAAGCCACAGCTAAAGCCATGAAAAGGAAACTGTCCACCCAAACCAGCCACAGCCCAGCTGCTTCTTGGAAGGAAGGAAGTGCCAGGTAATGCAAATTATTCAGTAGAATGTCCCATTTCCACGTGGAAAATGCTCCCAAGGGATGTGGGCAGTTCAGCTTCGAGTGCACAGCCAGGAACATGGCCAGGAAAGAATGTGCTCAGCTGAGGGGTGAAACACAGAAACAAACCCATCCCCAGGGTTGTGCTGCAGGGAGAGGAGTTCCTCAGGCAGAGGAGGAGAGGAAGAGCCCCGTGATGCAGGAACTGGGGGCACTTTGCTCCCTGCCACAAGGAGGAGATGGAATCAGGGCCAGAGGTGGGTCTGAAGGAAGCTCCTGTCCCTGGCAGGACCCTGCTCCTCACAGGAGCACTGCACACAGCCCTGAGCTGCTCTCCTTGAGCACAGCCTCCAGCATCTCCCTGGACCTCTGAATTCCCCACACTGCTTTGGGGATTCCTTATTTTAACTACACAACCAGAAATCAATTCATGATGGGAAATCTCTCTTAAAACCAGCGTTTAAATGTAATTTTTTAAAAATTTTTTTTAGACAGGAGAACCCTTTGTGTGCAAGGTTTCCAGGCAGGCAGCCCCTGGGGCAGAGCACAGCCCATGCCTCATGCCCTGCATCCATTCCCCTGGCTGCCTGATCCAGCAGGGCTGCTGGAAATGATTGACCTGGGATGCTCTGGGAGGGGCAGAAACGCAGGGAATCACCAGGGCACGGCTGCAGAGAGGATGAAAACTGCTCAGGAAAACGGGATTAAAGTGCAGCAATACACCCAGGGAGTGCCCCATGGCTGGGTGGGGCCCCTTTGCAGCAGCAATTGGAGCCTTTGGTGGGTGAGACACAGCAGCAGGAGAGGGGACACTGCTGTGGGACCAGGGGACACCCAGGGGACACCCAGGGGACACTGCTGTGGGTACAGGGACACCCAGGGGACACTGCTGTGAGAAGCTGAGGGGAGGGAGGCAGCAGAGGGAAAGCCCCAAATGGAACCTGCAGGCGAATTTCAGGAGCTTAGAAAGAGTTTTGCGGCTTTCAGAAGTTTACAGGAGAGACGGGCTGGGATAAAACCCCACAACTCTGTGAGTATCTGGGACCTGGGAAAGCTCCTGATCCTCCCCCAAATGCCAGGGTGGGCACTGCAGACCCCAGGGATTTAGGGTCAGGTGGGAGGAATTCGGGGGAAATCCCTGTGCACCCTCCCTGTGCTGTGCTGTTTGAAAGCTTCCCTGCCTCAGGAGGACAAGAGCAGCTCTTCTCCAAAATGTGCCTGCAGAGAGGAGAGAGGCAGCTCTGAGGGAGCACACAGCCCTTCCAGCTCCTCTCTCCCTGCTTTACATCAAGTTTCTGGGGGTTATTTTTTCATTTCCACAAATTCCTGATGTATTACCTTAAATATTGTGCCTAGCCATGGTGCCAGCAGATTGGGCAAGGTAACAAAAAACTTCTAATTTTGTTCCACAAAGCAATATTAGGATTTTACAGACAGCTGCAAGAACAAGTGAGGTTCATTGCTCCTACTAACTCACAGTGCACTTAACTCCTTGAAAAGAACTGACAGAGCACTGCAAGCATGAGAGAGTGAATTTCATCTTGGCAAGAAATATCTCCATACACAGACTGTCAAAAAATAATAGGCAGAATAGAACAAAAGAACTGGAATAAGGCCGATCTTTGAGAGGAGGAGGGGGGTCATCTTCACTTGAGAGAAATATTTTCTGCCTTGACTTACCTTCTGCCCAGTTTCTCAGCAGGGCAAAAATCACAGGAAAAGCGATATATATGAATTAAATATCTATTCCCCACCCCATGGGCACGGAGAGCCTCACAGCAGCAGGCTGGGAGCTCTTGGGCACAATGGTTCAGGGGTGGCAAGGGTGTCACCCTCGGCCTTCCCAGCCATGAACCCAAACCAGCCTCAGGCTGGCCACAGAGAGGTGCCAGGAGATGGCTGAAAAAATTGTTGTGTTCAAAAATGCTTGAAAAACAGAACCAGAGCAAGATGCTTTTGTCCCCAGCTCAGGACATCCAGATAACATGGTTCAATCACATCCTCGTTTTTATCAGCTGGGACCTGATCCAAGGCCATTGCCAGTGAGGTGGCAGTGCCTGGAGCAGCCAGGGAGAGCAGCTCCTCTGATCCTGTTATCCTGCACTAATTACACTGGGCACCTCAGGGATGCACACCTGGATCAGGCTCAGCAATTCCTCAGGAAGTAAATGGGAAGCAAAATAAAATTCAGCACGGGTGTAGCAAAAGATAAGTTCAGGTTTTGTTTGGTGTCAAAAGTTGATTAAATCTAATCTATTTGGGCCTTATTAAAGCACCTGGCATGGCAGTGGGGAGGAACAGAGACACTGGAGGGATGGCAGAGAGCAACAAGAATGTAAAATGCAGGCAGAAGCCAAAAACCACCCCAAAACAACAACAGGCTGTACTGGGGGGAGAACTGCCACATTCCTATTTCCAGGATTTCTGGATTTCTGCTGCTGTTGGAGGCAAGGATTTCCCTGGGGTCCCACCCTCCTCTCCTGAGGAGTCCAGCAGCAAAGGAGGAAGTGCAAAGGGAATCCACTTTAGACACCCCTCTGGGGGATGTTCTGGCCCTGGCTGAGCCCCACAGCCCGGGTAACGGGTGCAGGGAACCCCACACACCCTGGAAGGGCTCTCCTGGCTCTGGGAATTCCTTTCCTGGGCTGTGGTCACCTGGGGCAGCGCGGCTTCCCTGAGATGCCCTGTTCAGCTCTCCCCTGGAATGCTCTGGGCAGCTTCCCTGGGGCTCCCTGTGTGCCTTTGGAAAGGGAAACCTGGAAAGGGAGAGGAGAAGCAGCCACAAGCAGCCTGAAGGGGCAAACTGATGTAAGGGGGGAGACAGAGGGGAAAGGACCTGAGCAGGAGAGGCTGCAGAAGTCAGGTGTTAGCAGGGAAGGATTCCTGGGCAGGAAATCATGGAGCAGCCTCAGCTGCAGGGAGGAGATGGAGCCCAAGCTTCCTGCTAACCCTTCCTGCATCGATGGCACCAGGAAAGGCTCCAGTTCCATGGGATGCAATGCCCAGAGAGCAGAGTGGGACAGGGCAGAGCCCCTTGGATCAGCTCCCCTGCTCATTCCCCAAATCCCTTCTCTTGTCCCCAAGCAGGAAAGAAGGGATTCACATCATCAACCTCCCATGAAACATTCAAACCCATCATCAGTCAAAC